GTAAATGTTACATCACGAGCTTAATAAGATTCATATCATGAACAACCTTCGATCTACACGTGTGTTCTTCATCTCCTCCTCCTTATTCTTTTTTTTTTAATTGGATTTTTTATTTGCTTTTTCCATAATTGTTTGAAAAATGAAAGATTTATTGAAAAGTTTTTAGGACCGTTTTGGTATGAATCTAAATTTATTGATTTAAATAGATTTAGTGAATATCATTTCACATATTTGTATTTAAAAGTAGATTTAGTGAAAATTCTAAAATTTGTTTTTTATTTTAAATTTGAAACTTAAAAATACATCATTATATTAAAATATAATATATTATTTGGTATTTTAAATTCATTCCATTTTTTCTGTTAAATAAGTAAAACATAATAATTATAACTTATATAATATTGTAAAATAATAATTATTATAAAACGTATGAAATATATATTATTAATTTTTTAGAAATAACATATATGTTAACAAATTAATTAATACTATTTTAAATTAGATTAAATATTTATCTGCAATTAGGTTGGTTTACCTATATATTACTAAATAAAAACTGAATAGTGATTCCATTTCCAAAACTTGTAACCAAACATATATTCAATAACATTATAAATTAAATATAACTTATATAATCATAATTAGTCTCAAGTCCTTAAAAACTACATCATGACAACAGCATAGCATCGTCACACACTCAACGTCATTAAGAGCATGTTAACTTTAGATGGAGATGCCTCATACTTGCACGCCTATGTTCGACCACGTACCTATCAGCATCGCCAGTTACCCACCAGTCCCTACCACTCGTGCCCCCTGTCGCGCATGCCTTACAACCCCGCACACAATGCCTATCGTCGCACACCCACACACCCATGCGACCCACCCTTGTCGCCTCACCCACCTGAACGCTTCCACCCCTTTGTGTTTGTTTATTACCCGAGTGAAACAAAATAAGGAAAATATTTTTCTTAATTTATTCTTAGTTTTATTCAATTTATATTTATTTTGAAAATTATTCATTTAATTTTAGGCAAGTAGTATTTTTTGAATTTCATGAAAGATCTTCTGAATTTTATTTTACGTTTTAAATTTAAGAAATAATTGTCATGGTTTGACGAGCAAGTTGTTGAATTTATGAACAATTTTACATTATTTTTATTCATAGATTTTAGGATTATTTTATTTTATAAAATCCTTAGCCTATAAATCTGCCGCTTGTAGTCTTTTGAAGATAGATTATTGAAGTAGATTTTCGAATAGAGAGAAGTTTCCCTCCAACTTTGGTCGAAGTTAGGGTGCATTATTACTGAACATGCTCGTTTAATTGGTCACCCAAACTCGTGGCGAAACAGCATAGTAAGTATTATATCTACTCGTCGTTTTGACTGTAAAGATAATTCATCTAACACTTTCCTTTCAAGTTGAACCAATTATAAGATTGGATTTAAGTAGCTATAGGATTGAGAAGTGCATACGCATTAGTTGTTGCATATGAATGACTCTATTTTTCATTGAATCTCTTAAATTTATGTTTTCAGACCATCAACAAAATATGCTATTAGTTTTTTTTTTTTTTTTATAACCAACCTGTGTCTTTTTTCATTGATTCAAAGTTTCAAACAATACCTTTGGATGTAGGCGCAAATTAGTTAGTTTAATTACTGTATTAAATAAATATAAAAGTTTTACGATGAATTTATATAAATAATATAAAATAAACATCTATCTTTAAATAGAGCATAAAGTATAAAAATTCTACGAAATATGACAATCTACATAAAAGTGAATATAAAATACACTAAGACTTCGTTTACTTACCTAGAATCATAATCGAAATGAATCAGAATGAAAATCAATTGGAATGGAAGGTTGTCCTTTTTTGTTATTTATAAAAAATCATTTGATGTTGTTTACTAAAACTGTCTGAAACCGAAATAGGAAATAGGAATCAAATATATAACAATTGCTAACAGGGGTGTTAAAAAAAATCGACAACTCGAATAATTCGAACAATCCAAGCAGGGTCAACCCAACCAACTCGTTGGACTGGGTTGAATAAAGGCTCAGTTTGGATTATGTTACAATTTATCTAAATTGAGCAATTTGGTTCGGTTCGTGGGCTAAACAAAAAATTGCAGTTCAACCAAATCGAACTGAAGAATGCGTCTAAATGTGTAGTGGTTGATTCTTCTTCTTCTTTTTTCACGTGTCTAAATGTCACTCGGGCAAACACGTGGTGTTATTTTAACTTAAACTTCTTTTGTTAAAGAAAATTTTATAAAATACGAAATTAATATCTCATTAAAAAAAATTAATCATGAACCAAATAATAACAAACCAATAAAATAATATTAAAGCGAGGATAATTCAGCAATAATGGACATATATCTCCTATCAATAAATTTATAGACAAAATAAATGTTTTGTAATAGATTTTAGCACGAGAACTCATTACAATTAATAGTATTTTAATTAATTTTACACATCACTTTCAGTTATTGATAAAATAGATGCTTCTATGGAAGATTTTTTTTTTCTCCTACGTTTTTTTTAGCAAGTTAATTTTTTTTTAAGATTAAAATTTAAACATAGTTTTTAACCATTGCTATTTTTTTTTTTAATGTTATTACTATCCCTACTAATGCATTTGAAGTTTGGGTCAAATTTGAAAAAATGAAAATATTAAGCTTATAAAGAATAATTTTACCTTCCTCGTTTTGCTATCAAATTTTTAAAAATATTTTTATAATCTAAAAAAATTTTGAAAACTAATATATGTAGCTTGAGGAATTTTTTTTTTTTTTTCATTTTGAAATTTGGCCAAGAGTTTATGTATTTCTTAAAATAAAAAGGTATACTAAATAAATTGTGAAAAAATAAGCCTGATTTTAAGAAATAGAAAAGTGAGACAATATTATTAAAAGCCAACTATTTTAGTTTTAAAAACTTACCTTACATTTTGAAAATATTTTTAAAAGGTAGATAACAAAACAAAAGGTAATATTTATAAACTAAAATTAAAAAAAAACATAAAATAAAAAACAAAATGACAACCAAGTGGGCTTAGTTTGGGTATAATCACAATTATTTTCAATACGTATACAAAATACCACAATCTTGTAATTTAGTCATGGTTGTAAAATTCACTAGGTAACAATTTAATCATATTAAATAAACTATTGAACGTTATCGTTTCTAATTTTGGAGACTACATTTAAGAGAAAACACGACCTTTATTAATACTTCAAACATCATGTAATTTTATACGATTATAAAAGACACGTTCTACGTCAATATTAATTGAAGCTTTTTCAATGGGTTATCTTATGATTGACAATAAATATGAAACATGTATGCATATTAATTAATTAC